GCCAAAGTTATTTTGGATATTAAAATCATAAGATGTGATAGTGGCTTAATGCTAACAAAAGAGCATTATGTTGAGAGGCTACTTAAAAGGTTTGGACATTTTGATGTCACGCTTGTGAGTACTCCTTATGATAGTAATATCCAATTAAAGAAAAATAGAGGTGATAGTGTAGCTCAGTCTGAGTATGCACAGATTATTAAGAGTCTGATGCATTTGATGAATTATACTCGACCAGATATAGCTTATGCTGTGAGCAGATATACACAAAGTCTCAATAGAGATCATTAGACTGCCTTCAGTAGAGTGATGAAATATTTGAAAGGTATCATGAACTATGGTATTTTATATAATGAATTTTTCGCTGTATTAGAAGGATACCGTGATGCTAACTAGATCTCAGATTCAGATGAGACGAAATCCATGAGTGGTTATGTATTCACCCTTGGTGGAGGTGCTATAACTTGAAAATCAGCCAAACAAACAAGAATTGTTAAATCTATAATGAAGTCAAAATTTGTAGCTTTAGAGTTGGCTGGAAATGAGGCTGAGTGGTTGAGAAACTTTTTAACAGATATTCCATTGGGAATGAAACCAACACCTTCTGTGCCTATACATTGTGATTGCCAAGCGGCAATAGCCATTGTAAAGAATCAAACTTTCAATGGTAAAAATAGACACATTCGTTTGAGACATGATGTAGTAAAGCAGTTACTTAGAGATGAAATTATATCCATTAATTATGTAAAGTCATTGCCGAATTTGGTCGATCTTCTGACTAAACCCTTGGGAAGAAAGTTAATTAATGCTACCTCAAAGGGAATGGGACTTAAGCCAAATGAGGAAATCAACAAATAATGGTAACCCAACCTATGTGATTGGATATCCATGAATTAGGTTCATATGGGTGATAACAAGTTATTTATTGATAAATTAATGCACTATTAAAATTATTGTCCCTCTTATGGTGTGCGAGTAGTGCAAAACTGCAATGTAAGAGAGGTTGAGCTAAACTCTTAATGCATTCCATATCCCTTATGGGTAGTGTATTATACTGCAGTATACACTTGATGGAATCAACCTATATAAGTGTGGAATGGGGCCGCTCTTATGAGAATTATGGCAAATTCTCTAGAGCACTTATGAATAACTAGGCACGCGCATGACCTATTTGTACAAAACCGCATTGAACAGCAGAAATTGTGGGGGTGTAATGTGATTAATGAAAACTATATTTCACATAAAGAATTTTGGTTCATATAAGTTGCAAACTTCACCAAAATTCTGTGACTTATGTTTCATTCTCTCTAGGGGTGGTTCATAGCTTAAAAGCACTAGTCACGATGCATTACACAAAAATGAAATTTGACCCAGCAAAACTTCTTATAAAACCTTATGAAATATGTGGGGGATTGTTGGAAAATAGTGTATTTCATAAGGTTTAAACATCTCACATTGTCAAGATACTTGAAAGGTGAAGGCTTTATATATGAAAACACACTTTGGGCTTGTTGCAAGCAACAAAACCGAAGTGGGCTCCCGCGTACACAAGGTTGGGCCAAACCTAGAGAAATCTCAAACTCCCCCCCCCTTGAGCGTGAATATACACGTGGGCTGTGCCCAAGTGAACTTTTGTACTTTGGCATTAAATTTTTTTTAAAAAAAATTTTTAGCCTTGATTGAATCATACTTAAACTCTACCTAAGTTACTTGGTTTTCCTCTAACGTTATCTGACTAAGTTCTACAACGGATACTTCAGTAGCTGACTAGGTTTTTCTCTAACTGTCCGAGTATTTTTCTCAACTCCCTGATCTGGTTTAACATTCACCTGATTTGGTGCAACGTTCATCTCACTCCATGCCTATAAATACAGCCTCACACCTTCACTCTCAACACACAATAAAAGCTTATCATCTTCTAAGCTTTCTTTCCTTCCTCACCTCTTTCCTTTGATAGCTGGGTTCTTTCTCTATTTCTACTGTTTCTGTTCATCCCTTAATAGTTTGTGCAAACTACTAAGGAAGAGTCTGTTGAATCTTGGAGGATAACCGCTGTAATCTTTTTTCACGGAGTTTCATACTCCGAAAGGACGAAAATTATCTTTAAGGACATTGATACCACGCCTCAAGCTTCCTCTTACTACTTTTACTTATTTTATTTTATATCCCTCGTTTTCTGTAATCACCTCCTACACTTAATTCTTGTGAAGCTCTTTGGAAACTAAGGTCAGTCACTATGCATATGGAATTTCTTAGTTCCAAGCTTGTCATCTAGTGCATTGATGAAATTCCAAGATCGAAAGATGAGCTTATTTACTTTCTAGCTAAAGCTGAGGGCTCAAAGAACCAGATGAACTTCTTTGGATTTATGGTGACCCAAATAGTGATCAACAGGTTGAGGTGTGTAGTTGCTGTGGCTTTTTCATGCCAAGGTGGTTTTTTGATTGCTGAAGCGTAGTCATTCTTTCTTTTTTGAAATTTTTGTTGTTTGAAACTATAATGATCTCTCCCTTGATTTTTTGCATATGTTGTGCTCTTTCTCTTGATTTCTACCCCATATCCCTTAGCTTGTCGACTTTATAGGGGAGGTTTTAAGCTTTTGTTGTCATTGACTAGTGTGGAGCTTGTGTTTCAATTTTTGGAGGACAGGAGGATGCCATGGCTTTTTTTACCTGTAGTTACTGCTGTAAAGAGGGGTGATCCTCACCCCGTTTATATCCTATATCAACTTAAACATTAACAACCGACCATCAAGTTAAAACAGAATATCCAACATAATACCAATAATCATAATTGAAAATCATAAATGAAGTTCCTTAATCCATATTCCAAATCTAAAGTCATCAAATTCTAATAAAGCCAATAATAATAATACTAAAATTCACCCTAAATTAATAACTAGTTGTCCATTTCAATTGCTATACATTGAGCCACTAAGCAAAACCTTCACATTAATTATTGTCAATTCATCTTACAATAAAAAGAGAGAGTTAGTCTTCCACGTATCATTGGAGATAATATATACATCCAGCCTTGTCAACTTCTTGAAAAGTCAACCTTTCAACTCCCTTGATGATGTCAGAGAATTTCAATTTACTTTGTGCATCATCTGCCATGTACGGAAAACACATCCTTCAGCATGTTAGTTTCCCCAAACCAGGGAAAATTGAATCTTTATAGTGAAACAAATCATACAACTGTAAATAGCAAATTTATATATTAGGATTTGCTACAGCCAAAATCCTGAAGATTTCCAGCATAATCATAGTTAGAATACAATTAAATATTTGTACATAATCATAATTACTGTCGCTACTAATTCTAAAAATTAAAACAAAAAGACAAAAGGAGACGTGAAGCCTACCAAAAGTAATGCTCGTTCCAGTACATTTGCAGTGGCATCATAGTGTAGTTTATAAAGTATATATTTTTACGAAGTAATAATCTTGTGGTGATGATTTAAATAATTTGTGACTAGAATTAATATTAGCTTAAAAAATACCCATTTTAATTTCCTATTAATTGCATAATCATGATTATCATGAATGGCCCCAAATTCTTGGAAAAGTTCATGCATTTCAAAATATAAAAATGCTGATAATTAGATTATAATTTTGTAACAAAATTGGCATATGTTCCTAATTCTTTTTGGGTAAATAACAGGTTTTATTTATCCTAGAAGGCAGAGGAAAATTACTATATTAGTAGCTATTTGATCTGGCTTTTTTTAGTTTAAAAGTTATTATAAAAAATAATAATTTTTAAAATTCAGTTAATTCTCTTTTTTATAGAGAAACTGTTTCATAAAACAATATATATAAGTTTTAATTTTAATGAAAATTATTATGAAGAGTATTTCATAAATAACTTTCGAATGAGAGGGGTATTTTTTAAAAGGGTAATGTTGAGATTATTTTTAATAAATGAAGATATTTTTAAAATAAAAAAAAATCTCTTGAAAATATGGCTTTTTTTAAAAGAAGAGAAAGAAAAAACTCTTAAAGTTTTTCATGAAATTTTTTTTAAAATTTTATTTTTTTGAAAAAGTAGCTTTTTTACAAAAAAATTTAAATTTCTATTTAATCCGACCTTTATTTTTGAGAAGTAAACATGCTGAAAAAAAGGCTGATCCAAACAGGCACGGGTACAATTTAAAATATTTAGTAACCAAGCTGAGATAAATTAAGGTTTAACGAGTATGACAAATATTTAATCTAAATAAAAGGACCTAAGCCCAACAGAGTAATATTTGAAATGGGCTAACAAATATAAAAGGTCTACCTCCAACGAATAGAATCCAGCACAAGTTCTATCAATTGAGGCCGGCCCATCATCCTTTGCTGTCTTGGTCTTCAACAAAAAAAGAAAAAGAAAAAAACAAATGCATAATAAAAAAGAAGAAAAAGAGAAGCGGAGAAAGGTAGCAGTTCGCAGCTTGAACGGGGGATGGAAGGTGAGGAATTCGCAGTGGGTTGCTTCCTTTCAATCAAGACAACTTTGGGCGACGAATTCGAAGGCCAAATCATCACTTTCGACCGTGTCTCCAACATCCTCGTACTTCAAGAGGGTCCGAAATCAGGACCCAGAAGGAACATTCGGCTGCTAAAGGCTAATTACATTAAAGAGTTCTCTTTGTTGCATCAAGATGAAGATCCACTTGATGTCAAGAAATGTTTTTTAGATCTTACTAGTCTTCAAGCTAGGGAAGATTGTGCTGTTAGGTATTTATTTTTATCATTAATTTCTCAAACCCCCCATGTAATTGGATTTTTTTACTGAATTTCAATGAGGTGGATTTTTTTTTGGTTGGGGTTTTTGCAGGCAAGCAGAGGCAGATTCTGAGAGGTTTGGAGTCGGAGTTACCAGTGAGGCACAGAGTTTATTTGATGCTTTGTCTAAAACGTATGTTCGCTTCTCCTTATTCTTTCTTTCTTCTCCCCAGTAATCAGTTTTAGTATTATTATGTCTAGTTTTTGAATTGAAGAGCAAATTCGCCTACTTTGGGGAAACGTTTAGGAGATTATTGTCATGGTAATCTCTCGTAAGTATGCAGCTAGGAAGTTGACTCTATATTGTTTTAGGAATTTTGTCTTACGTTTTATGAACCTTTGAAAGCATAAGATTGAGGATTCTTGTTCGGCATAACTGGTATCCTGTTAAAGATAAAGGTAGGAATGAGCGGGGAGACAGGAAAACGGTTTCCTTTAGAAATTGCAGGACAGGAGTGGAGAAAGAGAACAATTCTCAAGTGAGGATAAAATCAAAGATGGAGGCTTTGTAATGCAGGATGGTTGATATGAACGATGCATTTGTTGTATCTCGCCATGTTGTGATTACTATGTGAACATCTGCCAAAGTATTCACTTGCTGAAAGGATAAATGTTATTCTTAGGAAAAGTATAGTGTTAAGTACCTCGAGGAAGTGAGGTGAATGCTACTAGGGTATGACGTAGTGACTTCTCAGTTCATATGTTGTAACTAAATAGAGTTTTTGTATTTGACATCAAAATGCATGATGGACTCTATGATAGTTAAATAAGGCTTTGTATCTTTAGTAAGTTTTGAATGTTGATGCTCCTAGTCGATGAATAACTAAGATCGTACTAAAATGTGTTAAATGTTTACTGCATTGTAGCAAATTCAGGGTCATAGTTGTTATTGTTTAGGCAAAGGGAAGAAACTTTCATATGGGTTTGGTTATAATAGGGAAAAAGAAAAGAAAGGAAGATGGTGAACAAGAAAAAGGGTCAGGGCTGGGATTGTTGGGGAAGAAGGCGTAAGAGAGAAATAGAGGAGGAAAGAGCCTGGGGTAGGTGAAGAACATCAGGATGCATGAATATTTTTGAGATCTTGTTAGAATCATAATGTATGAAATTGACTAACCCAAAGCCTTGATAGTTGTCAGCTTTTTTAGGGATATCTGCTTTTATTCATTTTTTTCCCAAGACATATCAGGATGATCTGGGAAGTGAAGGTATCTGGTTTTTACCCCTTTTATCACTGCAAAACGGCAGTATTTAAGATTCAATCTGGATCTCTGCTTATGGATTGAATTTCTGAGGGGCTAAATTTTGTCTCTATGGGCTTCCTTCAAGGTCATCAGTATATTGCTGTAGAAAATTATTTTGAAAACTTACAAATTTTACATTAACACCAATGCATACAACCAGGCTTCCTGTTCGCTGGGACAAGACTGTCATTGTTGTAATGGATGAGGTGCGTGTGAGCAGTCCATATCTTCCTGAGTCTGTTAGTGGAGGAACTCCTGCAGCCAATGAACGGGTGAAGAAAGTGGTAAGACTCTCAAAGGGATTTTGGCATATCTTTTTTGCTGGTAATATGATTAGTAAATGATTTATTTATGTTAATTTTCTTTGTCAGCTGGTGTTTGAAAGGAAGAGGATGCAAGTTCGTGGTGCTAGTCAGTGATGAACTCACATTTGTGTTGTCCAAAGGTTGGAGAAACCAAAAAAGGTGTTTTGATTGGTATATTGTGGTAGTGGTCTGACCTCACATTTTCTTACTTTATTGAAAGAACTTAAATGAATACCTGATACTGAAATTTTAGTTCTAATATTATGCTACCCCTGCCTTTTTTAGATGGATTATTGGTAAACAAGTAGGGGCAAGTAAATTATTGTTTGGATTTATTGGCAATTTTGTTTTTATAATATATTTCCAGCTGTTCTTAGATTCATATGCCAGGCTTGTCATAAGATAATCCTCTTTGTGAAAGCGAATAGGAGGAATTTAATTTGTAATGCATGTAAGTAAGGTCTTATTAGCGAGTGCTGTAAAGCCAGTTTGATCATTTTTAAAAGAAATATTTCCTTTCAATGTGTTAGAAATCATCTTTCTCACAGTTGGTCACTAAGTCTCAAATCAAGAATCTTAGTTAGTGCCTTATTAGCATTTGCCATTAAGGGTGGACTGCTAACACATGCAGCCACATACTGAAATCTGATGAAGGATAAGCTGTGGAAAATTTTACAACATGGTTCTAGTTGTTTATTGTTAAGCATATCTGCACTTCAAATGATTAATTTCACATTGCTCAAGCTTTTTGCCTTTTACTATTTTCAAATCTATACTTCTTGATCGTGTTATCCTTTTTTTTTTCCCTTTTCTTCTTAAGAAGGTGTTGGGTGGGTGTTGACAAACTAATTGATTGCTGAGTGTATGAGATGGGGAGGTATAGGACAGGAATGAATGTTATAGGAAGGAGTAAGATGAAAGTGGTAGGCGAAAGGAGATAAAAATGGATGCTTATTGCTTCTTTTTCTCTTTTCTATTGGATTGTTTGTCATTGATGACAATGACAACCAAATGCTGCTGATGGATTATTATTAATAGCACCATCTTGTAATCTTCTTATGGTATTCAAATATCTGCATGTCATGCCCAATATATCATGGTTTTTAACATCTGGGTGCAAATTCAAGGGCAATGAGTAGTGACTACTGAATAACCAATATGAATAAACCCCAGCTACAGCCTGCAAGGTACAGCGCAAGTATGGTTGCATAAGAAGCCAGTGTCTTACCAGAGACTTCTCTTCTGGAAATCCTGCTTATGGTGGCTGCGCAAGCTATGCTTGAAAGATAATATTACACTTAAATAACATCTCATGGAGCAAGGTACCACATAGCTGCACTAACATCTCACTGCTCTGCCACAGTTAACTACTATTAGTACATATTAAAAAAAAAATTTTACGACATTCGGGTCACAATTCTTTTAATTTAAAGAAATATAAATTATTCGAAACCATAACAAATTTTTAAAAAAAAAAGTTAAAAAAAGGCCAAAAAAATGTTAAAATGTTAAATGAAAGAAGCAATAAAATTTTCCATCACGCGTTTCTTTGATCTTGAACCAACCTCTGCTCCTCTGTTGTCGCATCTATTCTCAGGCAATTGCTCCAATTTTGTTTATGGGCACAATCTCCACTTTCGCAGGCCCAACCAAATAGAAATAGACCCATAATTTCTAACCGGGGTGAACGAGCAACTCTGATAAACTGGATCTCTAGATCAGGTTTCCTTGTACTGGAAAAGTCTGACAATAAAGTGGATCGTGTGAGCTGGTTTTGAAAAGATGCATGTTGGTGTTTTGTTTTTTTAATTTCATTGGTAGTTTAGTCAAATTTTTTACATTTGTTAATAACGTTTGGGGTTTTGAGATATGGTGTTTATTTTAAATACCATTGAACCTGAAATCAATTAAGGTGAAACCAAAAGGGCTTGGGGATAATTTACTCTTTAATATATATAGGGTAGTGATTTCACAAAATCATTAAGGGCATTTTTTCTTTATTTTTTTTAACCTATTCCTTGGCCTTTAGAATAGCTATTAGTGAGAGGCAGCCGGTAATAGCTATTCTGACCTCTCTTGGAATGGCCATCCCTCAGAACGGTCATTCCATGAACCAAACGAAGTTAAAAGGGGTAATAATGAATCGGCCAAATTCTCAATTTGTTAACCAAGCCACTTGGAAATAAAATTTGTCACTTTTTTTGTAAAAACCCTCTATCATCTAGTTTAATCATAAGAGGCTTATGGTCTGAACCAATATGACATAAGTGTTGGATCATTGCCCTCAGAAACAAAAGACACCAATTAGTGTTACGAACAGCCCCATCCAATCTTTCAAGTACTAGTCCTCGTCTTCAAGTAAATTTAAGATTGTGAAACTCAAGATTCAATAAATCTGTACTATTGATAAATTGATGAAAAAGTGTGCAAGGGTGATTGCCTCTATCAGAACCTCCAACTCTCTCATGTGAAAAAAGAAGCATTGAAATCACTAACTATTAACTAAAGGACATTTAATCGAATTTGCAAAGAATGATAACTCCTTCCAAAGTAATCACCTAGTGGTAGCTGAGAGGTGTCCATACGCCACTAAAAAGTTCCACTGAAAGGTACCTGAAATTTCAATATTTAAATGGGGACATTGAGTATGATTCCGAACAATCGAAATATAGAGGTTTGTTTTCCACAAAACCTAAATACCCCCTGAAAATCCTTCTGCTTCTAATGATGCGATCTATTAAGAACCAATCTTTTAATAACTGTATTTGCCAAAACACCACTGATATGAGGTTCAACCGAAGCTACCATATTCAACTTAAATTGTTACACAAAATCTAGTAATATTCTGACAAAGCTGTCATCTCCTGCTCCTTAACAATTTTACACTAGAAGTCGAAAATCCATTAAAAAAATAAATAAAAAGAAATAATGGAATTGACTTTCTAGTCAAAATGATAGGTCACAACCACTATATTGGTTTCTTTGTCTGATGCACTAGCTTCAATATCAATAATAACAATTTCAAAATCACCAGCTTTTCCTTTATTTTGTTTACATTTGTCTTGTAACAAATTAGAGATAGGAGTTTTCCAATCAGTCGACTTTATTCTTGCATTCTTTTCAAGAAAACCTTTGTTAATTTTAACCAGTCCTTTTCTATCAAGTGGCTTGTCTTCTTTATTATGTAAAACTAGCCCTCCTGAACATTCCACTGTAACTGTTGAAGTTCAATTCTACAAAGAAGGTTTCGACGAGCTAGCTCTTGACTTAAATTCCTTAAATATTCTCACCACTTAATGTTTAGAAGGATCTAATGAGGTAACATGTGATGAACCATCTCCTTTTTATATCTGTCGTATATGTTCTAATGACAAATCAAGATTATCTGTTTTAGTCTGACTAGAGAATTATTTCCTACCTTAACCCCTTCAAGTTTGTCATCCACCATTCTCTGTGATTCATCATCCCTATCGCAATTTACGTCTCTCATTGACTCATCATTCTTCTTCAAGTTGGCAGTCAAAATAGGCCATGGTCTTATATCAAGCTTGGCTGAATCAGTTTTATCATTTACAACTAATGGGTTTCCAAATTTTTTTAATTTGACTAAGAACGGTCTTCTTAGTTTTTTCCATTGACTTGTTCTCTTTCAGGACACCTACTTGATGACAAATCTGATCTCCTGCACCGTTTTTTCCCTTCAATAGAGCACCATATTTATCTTCTTCACAACAAATAAAAAATCTGGATCTAGATTGAGTCTGTTTTCCAAAGTTTGGATGTTGAGATGAGTTTGGCTTCAATTCCACACCTCATGGTTTTCTCCGTGTGACAAGCATCCAAGGTCCAAAGGGGTATGGTTTTGTCTACGGCTTCTCCGTGTTGCACTCTCTTTGTACAAAGTTATCAGTTATAGGCATTTGTACATTACAAGTCTCCTTAGTATGTCCATACACACCACAATTGAAACAAACCCCAGAGAGACTTTCATCCTCTATTTTCTGTAAGTCTCCATTAAGGAAGGATTTAGGTAGTAAAGGTTTCGAGAAATCTAGTTCAACTGCTATGCGGGAAAATTTTCCTTGTTTTGTGGATCCCGTGTTGTAATCAATCTTCAATAATCAACCAAACAATGAACCAATTTGTTGTAAAACTGATTTGTGGTATAAATGTAATGGCATTCCAAAAAACCTATTACAGGCCACCACTACAGACAGGTCTAACTAGCAAATAATGTCCTTAAATCATCCAAGGACCATCCAATAGTGCTTTAAGATAGCCTTTTTCTACCATGAACTTCTCTAGGTAATTCTCATCATCCAGATCAACTGTATTAAATCTTCCTTTAAGAAATCATAAGGTAACAATTTTTTCACACTGCAATTTGTCTAAAATCAGATGCCTAAGCAAACGTACAATGACCTATCTTTGCCATCTCTTGGCAAGTTCGGCTTGTTTCTGATTCGAGATCTTAATTGAAGGAACCCCATCAATTGTTTCAAAATGAAAATCATCCACTTTAGATCCCTCAATACTTAATGAGTTGGCTTTTCCATCATCACCAATGCCATTTTCATCACTAAGATCATCCTCCGAGTCCATGTTGCCTCTTTGAATGAAGGATTATGATGGATCACCATCAAATCCCCATTCACATTATTCTCCCTTAATCTCACTTTTTTTCCTATTCAAATTGTCAAGAATAGTAGGTGGCGAGTTCTTGGAGAGAAAACCCTAAAGTGTATTTTTTTATATATTTTACAGATATATTGTTTGATTATTTGATTTTTATATTTAACTTTATGTGATTTATGGATGCTTTTGATCAATGAATAGAAATTTATCAAATTGTTAGCTGTTGAACTTGATAATTTGTTATTTAAGATTATATTTTATTTAATTTTAATATTTTAGCTTATGCTAATGAGAAATGTGTAGTAATTTTTAACAAGTTTTTGGATAATTATATCATGAAAAGATATTTTAAAATATAAGAGATTATCTCATCGTATTCAAGTTCTAGGCAATAACATCATAATTCTACTAATGTAAGTACTCAACAATCTCTTAAATAAAGTCATATTGAATTTGATTTAAGTGCTTTCTCAATAGATCCTGTATTGAGAAAAAAAAATTTAATTATCATTAACATTTTAGTTATGACATTACTTAAAAAAAATTTTGAGTCAACTCTGACCTAAATCAAGGAAAAATCACAAGATCAATAGTTTTGATACCATGTTGAAATATCGAAGCTGAGAAACGGAAAAACTGAAATGGAGCTAATGAAAGAGAATACAATGAAATGTCATTAAACTAGAAATATGTACAACAGAACTATTTATAGAAGTCCGTGAATTGGACGAGTAGACAACTAACCAACTAACTAACTAAAAAATGACTGATGTGGTAATGGTAAAAGTCAAAATAAAAACTAAATAATTTTCCAATAAATAGTCACGTGACTCCCATGTGACTTCCTCTTTCAACGGACTTCAGGCTTCTATTCAATCATCGGTCTTCATTCTTCATTCTCAATTTCAGTCTTTATCAACACTAATTATCAACCAAGTCTAATACTCTATTTTCTCAAATTTAATTCCTCCTATGCTTCCTTGTTTGAAGAGGAAATTGAGAAAGTGTGGCCCGTTAATCTTCTAACAGTTGCCATGTTTCTCCTTCTTCTCCTTTCGGTGTACAATTGCCTCGAAATTAAAGTCATTCTTATTATACCCAACTAAGCAGTTTTGAAGCCAATGGAAGGCTTGCTTGTTAATAGAGCCACAACAGGAAGGTATGTGTTTAATAGGAATGGCTTCCTGCAGGGTGTTTGTGTCGTTACCTTTAAGACATTAAGTTAGGTTTTGTGTGGCATTTTGTCATACACCTTGCAAACAGAGCTAGTGGGGGCTTCTTGGTTACCAGAAAGAGCTGCGTGGCTTGTGTCTGGCTATGTTGTCACTAGCAGCCAAACCCCCTTTAAATTCCATATCATCGGGTGAGCTTCTGATAAAGATCGATACCGAACAAAACTAAAATACCTTGCTCTACCCTACCGTTTGTGGGGAATAAAAACGTCAGCCACTACACCAAATGGGTCACCTTTGAGTCATTGCCTACCAACTTGGGGAGGTAGATTATTTATGAAGATTGTCACGAGTTTGCTTTAGTTGTGTAACTCGTGGATCACCTTGTCTTGTCGCCATTTGCATGATTTCACCCACCTGCTTCAACGTTCATCTGAATTCTCCACTGTTAATCTGGAAAATTGAGAAACCAAAAGATTATGAACTAATTTAATGTCATATTAATTAATTATTGGTAAGTACTTTATTGACGCATAAGGGCGAGGGAGATATGATTGCATTTGCATTGTTCTTCTTGTTATGCCTCTTTTGGTGATCAATAAATGAATTTGTTTCTTTGGCCAAGGAAAAACAAAAAGTTGCAATGAATTAAAGAAGCTTCCGTTAATCCATTGAGCAAACATGTCCTCTATGTATCACTCATAGACTTTATTTCTCACTTAAAGCTTTGCAGATTACCAGAAAATGAATATACCATACTACAATCCATTGAAATGAACAAATAAACAAATACCTAAGTAGGGATGGAAAAGGCAAAGGGTGTATTCTTATGAAGGGTTTTAGCCTTTGATTCACCTGGGCGGTAGGGGAGGGGATAGAAGGGCATTGTATTTTCCAATTCCCCACTTTCTTTTCTAAAGTAGGCCAAGTTGCTTATTTTTTGATTGACGAGTCTTGACTATTGAGAATGCCTTGGAGCTTGGCGAAGTTGAATGCCCCAACCAGGCCCGGACCGCTTTCGTGGGGCAGGGCAAAAGAAGCTTTTGATGTTTTTCCTCAAGGGTAGAGTAGCAAGCAATCCAAGTCCTAAAGTACACGACATATCGCAATCAATGAAGCCAAAACCAAATAATCCCATCACTTTGAGGACAACATGGGACATTAACATCAAGAGTTGCGCACTGTTTTTTACGTAAATCAAATCATTGCACTTACTCCATTATAGTAGTAATTACTTCGGTTTGATTGGTCCCTCTTTCCTCAGACAAAAATCCCAAATATTTGTGTGTCTTAGCCCTTATTCAATACAACACAATCAGAAAACGCAGGATTTGGCCAACTAATAACAAATCCTGCAAAAAAAAAA